ATTGCTTATTCTATGGTGAGCGCTTGGCTAGGAGGCATGGAAGCAGAAGAGAAGGTGTTGGTGCAGGTTAGGCTAAGATAACAAATAGATCTAAATAGAAAATGCCACAAGACCATAAAAGGTTGTATCTTCCTCATGTAAGTGTTCTGAAAGGGTGCTCAGGTTGAGGGAGCAACTTTCCTCTCATCTGTGGGTTCCTTTCATCTGTAGCTTCTTCACGTCTGAAGGGCTCATTATTATCTACAGCTAGCCAGATTAAGGAGAAAGAGCACAGAGGAGCAAGTGTGGAGACTTTTTATGGGCTGGGGCAGGAAGTGACCTGTGCCATTTCTGCTCACATTCCACTGGAGAAAACTGAGCCATGTGGCCATTCCTAACTGCCAGGGAGGCTGGGAAATATCATTCAGCTTTGTTCCCATGGAGAACAAATATTGCTGAGCAGCTAGTGATGACTTTCCCAGAAGGACAATCTCAGGTAATGGGTCCATGCCATCAGATGACTGAGAATTGCTAGACATGGAAAAAGAACCTCTGAACATACTATGATTGGAAATGGGTGTGGGGGAGGCAGTGCTGTGTTCTGAACAGAGTCGCTGGGAAGTAAAGAAGCAAAGGATGTCAGCTTCCATAAATGGAGCTGGCAGCCACAAACAAACAGGCCTATCTTTATCTGTGCACAAGGTGAAAAGATACTGTCAGCTGCCCAGGGAGAGTGTCACCATCAGTGGTACTGTTTTCTGGCCCTTAGGATACAGCTGTGATCTACATCAGACTGGTCCCAGTCAAGGTCAGGTTGCTCAGCCTTTGTCTTGATGAATGTATTTCAACTATATCCTCCATGAGGAGAGGGACTCATGACTTTGACGAGGAGCTCTGCAGGGCAAATGTATGTGAGAAAGGACAAGTGTGCAGGAGCTCAAGCTCCCTGATAACCCATCTCTGCAGCTCACATGGGAAAGCTGCTGGATCCCCTAGGTCTGAATTCTGATCCTTACAATAGATCTGTGGATGTGTAGAGGGCAGAACCCTAAGATGGCCCCCAAGGTCCCTGCTCCCTGGTGTCTATACCCTGTCTAATCCCCTTGGCTGTGTGAGGGATCTGTGAAGGCGAGGGAGAGTGACGCCCTTGAAAAGTTTATATTAAATGGCAAGGGTACTGGGATAGCCACTCTCACTGTGTTACATTATGTAAGACTCCATTGCGTCCTACTGGAGAGAGATTCTCCTGCTGGGTTTGAAGAATTGAGCTGCCATATTGTGAGAGGGCCATGTGACTAGGACCCAAGGAAGGCCTTTAGGAGCTGAGACTGACCCCTGATTAACAGCCAGCAAGAAAACAGGAACCTCAGCCCTAAAACTGCAAGGAAATGAATTCTTCTAGCAATCCCATGAGCTTAGAAAGAGAACCCCAGGCCTCACATGAGGTTGCAGCCTCTGCCAATACCTTGATTTCAGAGCAGAGAACCCAGCCAACTTGTGCCTGGACTCCTGATGCACAGACATTTGATATAATAAATCTGTGTTGTTTTAAGCTGCTAAATTTGTGGTAATTTGTTACCCGGCAATAGGAAACTAATAGAGGTGACTTGGGTAAGTCACTTAACTTTCCTGAGCCTTCAGTGTTGTTGTTGTTGTTAATCTCTAAAATGGGCATTGCTTTTAGATTTAGTGTAAGAATCACATGAGGTAACATTATCTAAAAGTGTTTTATAAATTGTCAAGTTAGTAATACTGGCAAAAAGGATTTATTAGTAACAGGCAGTAATGCCATAAACTAAAATTGAAGGGAAAAACAAGGAACTAAGCATTTGTCTTTAAAAAGTGGATCTAATTAGTGGCTTTTTTTGAGAAATCATTCTGGCCTTCCCTGCTATTTAATTATCTATTTTTTTCCTCCTTAGCCATCATAGTTAGCAAGGCCTTCTGGCATGAGATTCAGTGTGATTCTGGGGATGCAGACCAGAATGTCTCCAAGATGGACTGCACTGTGTAGGCTATTCCTATTTAAGAGGTAGCAAGAAGGTTCTGAACATATTCTGCCCTCCAGCCAACGCAAGTTCCAAATCTTGCTGGAGTTGCCTTCAGAGTGAAAATAAGAACAGACCTAAAGCCTTCAGGACAAGACAAAATCAACAAACTATCCGTGTCATCAGCACCTATTATTAAATGACCTTTTAATTTGTAAAATCTTCCAAGGCTATGTCTTGGGGACCTTGGGGCCTTTGACTGGTCTTCAGGACCCCCAGGGGCCTGCAGACTCCACTTGGAGAATTGCTGTCATAAAGAAGCCAATACCGTACCACCAAGATATTACAGAGGCAGCTCCAGACAGCAAACCCAGTCTTAGAATAAACAAGACCTTTCAGGGAATCTGTTGAGGTCAAAACTATTTTCATAATAACACTAAGATATTTATCTTTGTCTCATCTTGACATTTGCCCTAATGCTGCAAAGACAATAGTGGGTAAAACAGCAGCTCCTTTGTACCAATCAAGGCAGTGGTCCTAAACTTCCAGGAACCTACTAAAATAAACATTGAAAACCACTATAAAACCAAAGCCATGTCGATTTAAAAATATTCTTGATAAAACAATAAATAATTTTACTAATTCTCAGCTCGTGAGTTACATGCCTTTTTAATATTCTATGTTACAAAATGAGAAGTATGCAAAAAGGCCTTGTGTTGCATACCAATTATGATGATTATCTCAAGGAAAGACACTTGCATGATTGTTTGAGGTGCAAGCTAATTAACCACTTTTTTTCCCCATGGATCATCATTTTAATTTGAAAGAAGAGCTGACTAACTATGGCTATGCAGACTTGGGTATTAGGCAGACATTTCCTTAGAAATGAACTAAGTGAGCCTGTCACTTCAAGGAAAATAACATAGTATTTCCTGCCAAAGATAACATTTTAGTTTCCCAGCAAAAATTAGAGAAGTTAGAATTTTGAAAAACTTGTTGACAGCTTCCCAATTCTTAAAGACCTTTCTGAGAAACTTGTGGTGATGTTAATGACCATGATATTAAAATATTGTACAATGAAATGTGTCAATATGAGAAAGATCTGCATAACTTAGTAAACCAATATTTTCCAGTGACCAGTATTATAATACAATGTTATAAAATCATGCATGGATAAAAGAGCTATTCAAAATGAATTCCAAGTTGACCAATGAGTTTACTATAACATAGTATGAAAAGTTCATGGATATGTTTTCAGATTTCATATTTAAACTAACCTTTAAGAAACTACCACTTGTTGAGTTTTAGTGTAGTATCAAAGAAAAAGATCCCCAATTCCATGGAGAGACTATTAAAATACACCTTCCTTTTCCATTACATATTTGCATGAGGCTAGATTTTAAAAATATATTTCAACCAAAAAAGAAAATCACAGGGCCGGCTGAGTGGCGCGTTGGTTAAGAGCTGGCTTGGGACGCCAGAGGGCCCTGGTTTGGATCCCACATATGAGGGCCAGTGACACTGCCCTCTATAAAAAAACAAAAAAACAAAAACAAAAACAAATCACAACAGATATGAGAATCCAGCTGTCTTATTAATCTGGACATCAAAGAGATATGTAAAAATGGATATAAGGCCACTCTTCTTACTGCCTTTTTGTTTTGTTTTGGAAGATAAAATTGTTTTTCATTAAAATATGCATTTATGTTAACCTGTAATGAGTTTGTTATTTTTTACTGAATTAATAAATACATACTATTTAAATCTCTCAGTTTTAATTTCTAAAAGACATTGGTACATGTAATCCACATAAACAAAATCTCTTTGAGATCTATGGTAGGTTGCACAGTGGCTCCCTAAAGTGGTCTACATCCTAATCCGCAGAACCTGTGAATGTTACTTTCTATGGCAAAAGGGACTTTACAGCTGTGATTAAGTTAAGGATCTTGAGATGGGAGATTATCCTGCATTGCCTGGACAGGACTGATGTAATCGCATGGGTCTTTGTAAGAGGGAGGCAGATGATCAGAGGGAGCAGTACGTGTGATGACAGAAGCAGAGATTAGAGTGATGTGAGGAAGGGACCGTGAGTCAAGGTACACCAAAGCTGCAAAACACCAGGAAACAGAGTCCCTCCTCAGAGCCTCCAGCAGGCACCAGCCCTGTTCACAACTTAATGTTAGCTCCTCGAGACTGATTTTGGACTTCTGACCTTCAAAACTGTAAGGAAATAAAATTTCATTGTTTTATGCCACTAAGTTTGTGGTAATTAATTACAGTGGAAACAGGAAAACTAATACAGTATCCTCAGTAACTTTTAAGAATATAAAAGGGGTTCTGAGACCAAAAAATTTGAGAACTTCTACTCTGTGGTAACCCAGCTTCAATGGAATCAGACCTGGAGCAGAGTGAGTGGCCCAAATACTTCCGCATGGTCCAGAGGGGTCTTTGTTTCCTCCAGAGCCTCAGGGTGATTCCAGATTCGAACAGAGTCTCGACATAATGAATAAATGGGCCTCTTGCTCTTAGTAATGTAAACAGGACGCTCAAGACAATAATGTATTGGGTCGTCAGAAAAGTCATGATGCATTTTTGCATTGAAAAACATAGAAAAATACATCATGACTTTCCCGATGACCCAATTAATAACTTATGGAGCTCCTACTCAATGGCAGGCGCTGTTAGGCCACTTAACACTATTACCTTGAATCCATACAACAACACTGCTAAGTAGGTCCAGAAGGGCTGAGGGACTTGCCTAAGTCACACAGCTAATAAGTAGCAGAGCCAGATTTTGAATCTCGGTCCGTCTGGCCCTCAAACCTATATTCTTTCCTCCAGTCTCCATGGATTTCAGTGAATTTACTCCATGTCAAATAGGCAGTAAACTACCAGTGGTATTTATGTATTACATTGCATTACTTTTTTTTTCTGGCCAGAAAGTAAAGATGACTCTCATCATAACGATAGGACTGCATGGGGTGGGGGAGATGAGGAGGGTGAGTGGGAAATTAACATCTCTTGAGAACCTACCATTATCATCAGCCACTTTTATTTCACCAGGCATCCCGTCTTCTGTGTTGGCAAAAACTCTTAGGCGATTTATCCAAAAAGTGACTTGTTTTCATGTTGATGAGTTTCTTCCCCTCAGATTTTAACTGAAAGGAAAAGATAAGCTCATAGTGAGGAGACAATGGCTCTGTTGCTTGTATCTCTATGACAAGCATTATCTAATACAATTTACAGAAATTGTTATCATTATCGCTTGTCTTCGGGCCACAGCACAGCACTAAGAATGGAGTGTTACCATGGCGCCTCTGGTCTTTAGCAATTTTTCCTTTTGTTCTGTTTCATTGGTAAATATTATCTTGCTATGCCCTTAACCTAAAATAAAACAGCAGAGGACTGACCATTCCCTAAATGACCTTTAGCAGTTTATTTACTGTTAGATGGCTAATAAGTTAATTAAACTTCCTGTTAATTAACTTTTATAATTTGCTTTGATGTGGTCCTACCAAATGGTTATTACCTTGGCTACAGACTGTTAACTCAGCCTATTAATCAGAAAGTGTGCCCACATTGCCAAGGGGCAACCTGACCCTATTGGACAAGAAATAGAGAACTTCACCAAATACCTTTGTCTTTGGGAGAGCAGAGATCCCCAAATGGAAGAACAATTTGTATCTCACTTCTTAATGTCCAAACTACTGGCCTTCTTAATGTATCTGTATTTTAATGAGGCATTGGCAGGGTGAATCATCTTGTCTTCATTTAAATCTAATTCCAAAAGACAGATCTGGCTAAAAAAAAAATTGACAGATTTCAGAGGGTTGTTTCTTTGTGTGTGTGTTTTGTTTTTTAAGGAAACGTTCCTCTTTCCAAAAGATTGACTTACAGGAAGCCATCAGTGGTACATCAGTGTCTGCGCTGGAATTGCCTTTCAAGCAAAGTATTTTCCAACCCCACATTTGCTGGGCTTGTTCAGGCCTGGAGACTCCAAATGCCCTATAAGTTCACAGGCAGAACAAGCCAATGAATAATGAATGGGGATGTGAAGGTAGCAGGTAACCCTACAGACCACAACACCTTGCTAACAACTTTCAGAACTGCTTGCTATCAGGCTGCTCATGGAGTGGAGATGATAACTTGTCAGCTAATTTGGCTTTTACTACTCTGAACATCCTGACTGCTCTGAGGTTTTCCCGTAGCCAAATTGTCTTGCCTGTTAAATTTGTAATGCATTTAGGGAACTGCATTTTACATATTTAGAAAAATGGCTTTGGAGACTCTTGGGTGCTTTGGCACAAGAGCTGCGGGCTTCCTGGAGCTGGGTGCTGACATGAGGCAGAGTGCCGGAGATGGGGCGGGAGCCAGACTGCCTCCCTTGAAGCACTTGTTTCATTTCTGTTCAGAGCTTGAGAAGAAAAAAAAAAAAATCCAAAATGCTGATATTTTTAGTTCCCACTCACTTCTTCACTAGGAATAGGAATATGATTGAAATTTCCACCCATCTTCAAAGCAGACTTACCTTTAAAGCAAATGCCCAGGGTTTGAAAACTCATTCTAGATGGAATAAAGTTCACAAAAAGAGAGAAAACGTTTTAAGGAAAGAAGCGAAGAAAACAAAACGCCTAGAGCTTTCAGCAGAGTTGGGTTACGGTTCTATCCCGCACCCTGGGACCTCACTTAGGGAGGTACAGCAGTGGATTCCCACCTGAAAGGAATGTACCATGTAATGGTAGAGAGGACCAGCCCGGAGCAGGCTTGCCCTAGTACCTCAGCTCTCCTCAGGGTCATTGGAGCACTTACGAACACCAGCGCGGTACTCAAGGAAATGACCCACAGGGACGTGCTGGTGGGGTTTTAAATGTTTTCTTGTCCCCTTACAGGGCCAGGGACTGGAGAGAGGCAGGGATAGAGAAGAATGGGGGACAGGGGAAGAGGGGAGGGGAGAAATGCAGAAAATAAAAAAAATAAAACATAGCTGAGGAGCAAACATGCTAATGGAATCCTGAGTAGGGAAGAGACTGCTCGAAGCCCTCTGGGCTTTTTATTTATCCGTCATTCCCAGGCCAGCTGAGTGCCAACAGTAGGACGCTGAACCAGGATGTGCCTTGTAAACTTTCATCACCTTGGTCCTTCCGAGGAAGTCACCCAGGGGCTTATTTCAACTGCCTTTGAAGTCTGCCAGGAACTTCTGCCCAACGCCATTAAAAACAAATTTTAGCCATAAATAATAGCACCAACATCAGATATGTTATTTTTCTTTTTCAGGTCACAAACAAGAGACATCACCATATTACATGTATTAACTAAAGAATCTGGAACATATAAAAAGGTACCAAATTTCATCCAGATCCCATCATAAAATTTATATGCTCTAGCATTTTTCATGCTCTTAGCATACTTCCAATTCCTTTGTTTCCTTGTCCATCTAGACCTACTTAACAAAATCCCAAGCTGGATCAAATCTGTTGTCAACATTATTTGTTTGTATATCCAGCAGGAGCAGAAACTGTCAACATCATGCGACTTGGGGCCAATATAATATATAATTCACAGCCTCAGTTCAGCTGGGCTCTCACTGGCGCTTTTCATTCCCTTTCTTAAGCCTTGGTCTCCAACTGCTCCCAATCTCCTCCGTGACTATTGCAACCACCTCCACCATGACTACTGCAACCCCTACTAGGCATCTCACGTCCTGTCCTCCTCCTCCTCTGTCCCTGTTTTACCCTCTGCCCAGGCACTCATTCTCAGTCTCATTGCTCTTGTCTCTCTTCATCCACATCTAGTCTGCAAGGTCTACCAGTGCTCTCTCTGAAATGGATGGCTCTTCAGCTCCCTTCTCTCTGTTCCCACAGACACGGCACACATTCAGGTCCCTATCAACATTTGCTAGATTACTGCAATGGCTTCCGAATTGTCATCAGCCCTTCCTCCTGTCTGGTCACTCTATGGTCACCTCTAGAGAGCCCTGCACAGATGCACATCCCGTGGGATCTGCAAGGGTGAGGGATTTATCACAACCCTTGACCAGTGAGGGGTGGGAGCCCATGAATGTATGCTCCCCTTACCCGGTGGTGACCACCTGAACACACCATGTATTGGTTTCCCCCTCATCCTCTATTTCTCTCTCACTGTGCCTCACCCCTTTCCTGGGATCCCTTCCCAAAATAGAGCCCCTACATCAGCACCCAACTCAGGCTCAGCACAGATGTAAATAAAACTAAATCCCCTCCTTCTAGGACTCACATCTGAAGGAGAAATGGACCCATTGTCAAATACACATAAAACAACATGGCCCAGGCAGGCATAATTATGCTCAGGGCTCCTAGGGACACCTGGTGGAGGGCACAGAACTCAGCTTCATGCCATCAGGGAAGTGTCCTCCGCTGGGTCAGAAGGCGGATGTGGTCGGGGGTGGGGGGGGGAGGAGGAGGGTGATACGCAATCAAATGCTGCTGACTGAACAAATCTAATGTCCTCAGGCACCTGGATTTCTTAATAAAGACAAAAGGCTCTAAGCTGCATGCTTTACTCCATAACATACTTTCTGGCTCACCCATATTTTAGGCTAGTTAATTCCCGCATGACAAGAATGTTACACACCTCACAGAGCTGGTTACTTAGTTGGTGTGTATTGGAGTGTTTTATGGCAATTTTGCAAGAGCAAAGATGACTCTTAAGGACAAAAAAAAAAACATAGCTATCTTGTGACTCAACCTAGGGTGTTTGCTATCAAAGGTAAGCGTATTAAGATAAATTAGAATGCTTCTTTATGTCCCAGATGCCTCTTTCACTATAGGGGCGGGGGTGTAATGGCTAGATTCACCAGAAGCCAAGTATCTTTGCCACTGGGATCCAGAACTGCAGGGGGTTATACCAGGCACCCTCCTCTGGCCAACTGGAGCTTCTAGATTCCTCCTGGCAACATGGATCTACAATTCACGCTATGATTAACTCCTCTGGGCTCCCTCTCATCAGCGCCCCTCATCACCTCCACAGATGAATTCAGCTCCTCTCCAATCTTGTTTTCTGCGTCATCACTCATTTTTCTCACCTGGGGTCTAATGAGAAGGCTTGACAAAAGATGAGAGTAATATGTAGCTACATTGACCGTGCCACCTTGGTTCCAGTCTTCCATTCCAGCCTCAGGTGGGGCTGACTTTCAAGACTGGCTAGGACCACCGTTCCCTCTTTCCTTCTGAAATGGTTATCCTTCTCTCTCTTCTTCCCACTCCATTCGGGGTCATGTTCTCTCCTGCATGTGCCTGTGTTTGGAACTTCATGAAGCCCTGCTGGTGCTGGATGCTTGCTGGCAGCGCATCAGTTGAGGAAAAGCATTTTCCCTTTTGTCCTTTTTTCTGTCCTAGTTTGCATCTGGGTAAAGGCACACTGAAAACCAGGCTGTGCCTTGGCTATATGTACTTTAAAAAAAGAAACAAACATGAAAGTAGCTTCATATCTGAGCAGTGCTTTTAAAATATGTCCCCAATTTTATTGATACTCCTCTCATGAGAAGGTGGCGTTTAGGTCCCCTCCCCTTGAGCGTGGTCTGTACTTAGTGACTCGCTTCTAATGAATGAATGTGGGGGGAGTGATGTTGCATGGCTCCTCAGACTAGGTCATAAAAGGCATTGTGCTTTAGCCCTTGCTGGTGTTGGGGTTTGGGGAGTAGGAAAGCCCCTCTAGAAGCTGACCCTCTGGCCCCACTCACACTTTCAGATAACTGCAGCTCTGGACACCATCTTGGCCGAAATCTCATGAGAGATTCTAGTCCAGAACCACCCCGCTTAGCTGCTCCCACATTCCTGCCTCACAGAAACTGTGTGAGATAAATAAACGTTAGCTGTTTTAAGTGGCAACACATTTTTAAATGTGGCAATAGATAAATAATATACTGCACACTCAAGTCCTTTCCTGTAGGGCCTAGAGGAGCTAAGGTAATGTGTCTCTGTCATGTCAGAGTGGCCAAGGCTGTCAAAGCAAGGACCAAGGACGGGTTATTTAGGGATTCTTAGTGAGAGAAACTTGGTCCAAGGACAGATAATAGAACTTGTTTGGCTTTTTTAACCCTCTCTTTTCCCAAAGCATGCATAGCAGTTTACAACAAAAATATGTGCAGAGAAGCCATATGTACAAATAGGAAACAGAAAAACATGACCAAAGAGAATAGTAAAAACTGGCATAAGGGCCAACATAGCTGCAGCAGGTGAACCTTAACCATGGCTCTGAGCTTCCTAGTAGCCATGGAAAAAGGGAAAGCCTAATAAGCTCTATCACTTTTATTACTGGAAAGTAAATAAAGCTCTACCTAGCTCTGTATTTTAAAACAACATTCTCTTGCGGACTTTAATGTAGATGCTGGTCTAGGTGAAAGACACGGCTCTCCGTTATACTTTCAGAGATACTGTGCTGGCAAAATTCATTTGGCTGTGTTTATTAGTAAAGGAAGAAGGAAAGCATTGATAAGCACAACGGTGAACTGTAGAAAATAAATGAAAGAAATTCCTTCGACTTAAGTGCTGGTTGGCCTTTTGAACGTGGCATGTAAACGTCTGTGAAAATATTTTCGATCTGCGCTGAGGCACTTGCTTTTCTTTCTCTTTTTCTGTTGGTATATATATATAGCACGAAAGCACTTCTTGGGCAACAATTGAAAATAGCCCCGTTTATCTCTCTGCTTCTACTCCGGGTCTTGGTTTTTGGTCTATAAATTCTTTCTGCTATCTTGGACTTTGCTGGAGAATGTGAATCCTTCAGCACATCCCATCACATTCCACCAATTCCTGACCTCCTGTTCTCCTCAGCAGCCCCCCACCCCCACCCCCCCTGCCCGGGGCTTTGTTCAAAGTCCTGCAGGGAGGCTGTGCAGGCGATGGAATGCACAGGCCACGGTAGCTGGGCACCGACTGTCCGCGGGGCCTAATTGGTTGTGGCAAGCTTTCCAAGAGCGCCGCTCCCGGGCTATGCTTCTGAGAGCTTGCTGCGTCACAGGTTGGATGGTCCCGCACAGCTGGCCCAGCCACAGAGATAAGGAAAACACGTGCCGGTGGCGCTGCAGGGCCTGGGCTACCATCAGGCACCGGAGGTAATGTTGAAGGAGGCATCCGTCTCAGGGTTGGGCGGGGCGCCTCTCCTGCCTCCCCCTGGCCCTGCGCAGCCCTGTCTCTTAAGGTTGAAAATAGGAGCTGAATGATGTCAAGATGCTTAGCATGTTTCCTGGCGTGTAGTAGATTTCAACGCACGTTAATTTTCCCCTTCCCTTCTTTTATCTCCTCTCCTTCCCTCCTTTCCCCCCATCTCGCATTCCTCCATTCTGTAAGCATCTGAGGAGCAGGGCTGCTGTGTGTTGAGTCCTTTTTTAATTTTTTTAAATCTTTGCCCCTGCTGTTTCCTCTACCTGGATTCCTAGCTAACTTTCTCCTCTTTTCTTCCTTAACTCCATCCTATACATCTCAGAAAGCTCAAGCCTTTGCTGACTTCTGTTACTAGGTCAACTTCCCCTGTTAACTGTTTCCATTGCACTGTGAAACTCTTTTTAATTCTTATCACCTTGGTTATTTTACTAGTATGATTATTTAATTAAAAATAGATTTTACATTTATTTGTATGATGACTTTCCTGAGACTGTAACATGATTCCAGTCACCTTCGTACTCCCAGGACTCAGGACAGTGCCTGGGACAGAGCAGGCATCAATCAATAATCATTGGCTGAATGAACCAATGAACAGGTGAATGAAAAGGTCTAGTTCCATGAGTTGTGCAAGGTGTAGGCCAGTGAATCACAGTATCTGCGTAATGAGGATGAATATTTCTATCTACTGGGGCGTACTCAGCACTGAGGAAGCGAGGGGAGTCTCAGACTGCTGACCACCAGATGCTCAGGGCCCCAGAAATGTGGCCTCCTCACGTTGAACACAGGAGAGATGTCAGGGCCAGAATGGGTGGTCTCAGAAATGTAGCACAGAGTCTCTAGATCTTTCTCAGCACTCAGTACGTACTTGCATTAGTTTGGCAGGGCTGCTATAGCAAAGGACCACAGACTGGGTGGTTTAAACAGCAGGAATGTATTTCCCCACAGTCCTGAGGGCCAGAAGTCTGAGGTCAGGGTGTTGGCAGAGTTGATTTCTTCTGAGGCCTCTCTCCTTGGCTTGTAGATGGCTGTTCGTTCTCTCACTGTGTCTTCACATGGTCTTTTCTCTGTACAAGTCCACGTCCAAATTTCCTTTTTTTATATGGACATCAGTAACTTGGATTAGGACCCACCCTGATGATCCCATTTACCTTAATTACCTCTTTCCGAAGGCCCTATCTCCAATATAGTCACATTGTGAGGTACTGGGGGTGAGGACTTCAACTTCTGAATTTGGGGGACACAATTCAGCCCATAAGAGTACCTTTAGAGCTGAACTGCTACTGACTAGCTGAGTGACCGCAGGCAAAGTATTTAACTTCTCTGTGCCTCCATCTCCTCATCCGGAGATAACAGAAGTGCCACCTCATTGAGCACAGTGACAGTTAAATAATACCCATGAAGTGCTTGGGACAATGGCATGTAGGGAGTGCCCACCAAGTGTTAACTAAGTATTAATTATTAATTAATAATTAAGTATTAATTATTAATACTTAGCCCTAAGAAAATTATTGTAGGCAATTCAAGTATAAGACTTTCTCTCTGCCCTCAACATGCTCACAGGCCCCTTAGATTGAAGATAAAACTTATAAAAACAACCTGAGGCATTTTCCTCATGCTTTCAGGGCCTTGACTGGGGAAGGGCAAGTTAAGAGGAGGTAGGAACCATGGAAACCAGCGTGGGTCTCAGCTGAGCCCCTTTTTGAGCTGTGGGGCTTCCAGCTGCAGCAGGGCTCCTTGGCTTCCCCAGCAGGGTGCTGCCTGAGAGGGGCCTCAGCCCTCCTCAAGGCACTCAGCACCCACAGCCCTTGTACTCACCACCATGGCTTTCCAAGGATGGATGGATGCCCCTCCCCCAGGGTCAGCGCCACTCTGTGGGCTCTCCCCAGCTCTGCCCTCCCTGTGCCTCCCGCATACCATGTATTTCACTTACATGTCTGTTTTCTCTATTAGAATGTAAGCTCCACGGGGCAGGGGTTTTCATCAGCTTTGTTCATTGCTCTAGATCTAGCTCCGTGATACTCACTAGGCACTCACTAATCATCCCGTGCATGGATGAATGGACGAATGGATGAATGGATGCATGGATGAATGAACTTCGGCAATGTGAGCTCTTGGCCTCCAGGAACAGACTAAGGGTTGGGGACAGCGAGTCTTCCTGCCCATTTACAGGCTCTGAGTGACTGCAACAGCCAGGTGTGAGTAGACCGCCCCATGCATTCCAATCTGGTTCCATCAATCAGGAAGCTAGTGGACCTCCCCCAGGATCGTGGTGCTAGTTGGTCCACTCAACTGCAAGGGTAGTAGTTGCAATAACTAACATTTATGCCATTTAGACATTTATAATTATAATCAACTCATCTCAAAAACCCTATAATGTAGGTATTCTATCCAGAAGTGAGGCATGAAGAGAGGTTAACCCTGCCCAAAATGACACAGCTAGTAAGTAGCAGGCTGAGAGACTGAATTCAGATCTGACTCCCAAGTCCTTCCTTTTGCTGTGAGCTCGTGTTTCTTGTTTTTGTAGGTATTTTAAGCTGTGTCGGGGGCTGCTCACCAGATGGCTTTTTAATCTCCCTCCTGTTGCTACATTATTAATCTCTAAATTGTTTAGTGGCGAGTAGAACTGGTACAGAGAGAAGGCGTCTACATGGGAGGGGCTTCCTGGAAGAGCTGCTGACATTTCCCGTGGGCCTTGGAGGGTGGGCTAGGTCTGAGTAGAGGAAGGAGAGATGGAAGCACACCATAGCGAAGGGAACAGCACTGGAACCCATCCGAATGGCAGCTGCCATTACGGGGATCAGACATACCCCATGTCACTACAACAAAGCTGTGAACCTGACTCAGTCAAATATTTAGCTGGTGGTTGCTTCCTGCTTTTGTCTGCTCAGAATGGGATAAAGAAATTGCAATCTTCCATTTTCTGAAAATCCACACGGCACTGGATCTTTGGTAGTCTTTCTGGAAGATGGTTGATGCTTCAGAGAGAGTTTTGCAAGTAGCCAAGTCCCCCAACTGGAAGCTTTCCCTGGGCATGCTCAATTCTTAGAATGTGTCATGCTAAGCCTGCGACAGACAGCTGCCACATGCCCTTTGAATAGGCTGTGTGTAGGAGGCAGGTAGAGTTTGATGTGGCACCTGTGGGACCTGAGATCCGTGGACCTCTCTGGTCCTTGCATCTCCACAGGGTGGAGTGGAAGGTGCCCTCAGATGAGTAAAGTAGATAGAGGCTAGAAATCTGCAAAGCTAATTTATTCTGCCAAGTATAAAGCATTTTGAACTTGCTCCACCCTTCCTATTTTCCATCTGTCTTATTATTCATCACAGTAATATTTGGGCACTTTGAAAAGAGTGATATTTTAACATGAAGCTATTCCAAGGACATGAAAAAATATTCTCATTTGGCATAAACCAGTCATGCAAATTAGCCTAAATAAAAATAAGACTAAAGGCAACTTAGAATATTCTTGTACTTTCCTAGGCTCCTGCCAGTCATCACTGTCAGTGTAGCATCTCTTCATCTTGGTGACTGTTGAGAAATGGGACTTACGTTTCTGGAGAAGTTGATGCTCAAGAATCCACTCAAAAAGACAGGACATCAAAGATCCAGCACTCATGAGTGTCTGAACAAGCCCTTGCAGGCTACATAGGGCGCTTGTGATGGGACTTCCTAGAACCTGTGAGGTCTGTGTTTGGCTCATCACAGAGCAGTCCATCAAGAACTCTGACATTTTCTGTTTGTTTTGTTCCTGGGAGACTTTTTAAGGGGAGAGAGAGAGAAGGGGAGGGAGAGGGAGAGGGAAAGAGAGAGGGAGGGAGGGAGAGAGAGAGAGAGAGAGAGAGAGAGAGAGAGAGAGAGAGAGA